TCCTGACCCGCCTGCTGCTCCCCTCAGCAGCATATTTCACTAATCTGCTTCTTCTGCTCCCTGTTCTGCCTCTGGTGAATCCTCTCACAGCCCCTGCACCTCTGACCTGTATCACAGTTCTGTATGCATAAATAAATCAATCTCAAAAAAAAGGAAAAAAAAAAAAATGGAATGGAATGCCTTAGCGAGTCTTTTAAGAATGAGGACAAAGTGAAACAGGCCCAGAACACAGGAAGGAAATCCTCACAAAGAACACCAGTGGCGAGATCCCAGAGCCTGAAAGTCAGACGATTCGCTTAGAGCTATATAGACAGTGGCCTGTTCATATGGCCTCCAGGAATTGCCTATATGACTTACGGTGGTCCATGCAACCCAAGGTAAGGAATCCCTTATTATCCAAAGAAGTTAGCAGGAACAGAATCAGACAAATCTGAGGCAAGGCTGTTAAGAAGCTTGGCTTACCCAGGCCTTACCAGGCTGGGCTGCTTCCAGTTACTTTATTTCTAAGGGGAAGGCCCAGCATGCAGCTAAGATCTCCAGAACATGAGAAAAATGCCAAGAAGCATGTGAGCCTCCATGAGAGAGGCAGAAAAAGCTTCTTGAGGGAGCTACCCCCAAATCAGTTCATTTCGGCATCTAAATGTGTACCTCTGTGGGAAAGCTTGTTGGTCCTTCCAAATGGGAGCGCTTCTGTGCTCCCAGTTCTGAAATGTTTTCAGCACTCTAAGGAAATAGGACCCTCAGCCTGGAATTTCAGAGTTCGATCTATCAGTCAAAGGTATCAAAATTTACCTCCCACACAAGCTTTCTCAGTAAACTATTCCAGGATGTACGTCAAGAAAGTAAAGAACACTTGAGATCCAGGAAAACGAGGGACCCAGCTGCAGAATATGAAGAGAGTTCACAAGTCACACACCGGAAATGTTTGAAGCTTTTTTGCAAAAGCAAAAGTTCTACTATGAGTTAAATCTTGAACAATACAAATGAATATAATAATAAAAACTCGAAGACATAGGGCCATTTTCAGACTGAAACTATAAGCCACTCTGTCCTATCCTACTTATAAGAACCTCATGTTTACACAAACAAACTGTGTAATGTTATCTAAGACATACCTGAATTAACGTAAAACTTAAGAAAACAAAAGACAATGTGGAAGAGTAACTCGGGCCTTCTAGAATTCTTAGTATTACACACACAAAGATGTCTGCGTGGCCTCTTCTGTATTAACAGGAATCTAAAAAGTCTAGACGAACTAGGGAGGTATGAAGACTTCTCCTCAGGTACTACTAGGCCTCACTCTTGGTATCTAATGAGCAATCACAAATGACCAAAGGGAAGAACCTACTGGAGCCTGCCTTGTGCTCTCCAGCCTCAGTCCCTCTCCCCAGGGAGTCCAGAGCACCACCTCTGGCCCTCAGCTGCTCCAGGAACAGCAGATTCCATGAAATTGAGCCACATGGCTACTGGGAAACAACCGTGAAGCAGTAGTCCAAGAGAGACCTCATCTCTTTGCTCCCCAAGGGCCAGTTTGGCTCTAAGATGTCCGTTACCCTCTGGAGAATTTGAGCTTCAGTTCTTTCTTTTGGATTCCAGTTTGCCCTACATAAAGGCAGGAAAATGAGCGCCAACTACAATACATAAAGAAGTGTCATTTTTAAAGACAGACTATAGATTGATAGTCCAGCTAAATAGCGGTGTAAAGTATAAAGATTTATTTTATTCCACTGGTTATTTTCAATAAACACTCAAAGAGAAAACCAAACCAAAATCAATTAAATTGTACTCACAGATTACAGCTACAAAGTAATTACTGACCAGCACATTAATAAGACAATGACAGAGTAAGTTACTGGTCAGGCTGTGGCACAGGCCATTAAGATAAGATCTATTAGATAAAATATAGCACAGTAGGGACTAAAGATGGAAGAGCTGTAATAGAAAAATGACATAAAAGGAGAGTTAGAAATAGAAACGAGTAAAAATAGAAGTCAAGGATTGAAAGAAAAGGATGAAAATGGAACTCTTAGAAGATCTTTAAATGATTTGACTATGAAAGGAGACTGGGTCATCTCTCAAACTCTTTTTAGCTCTTAGATGTTGAACCAGTGAGCTATAAACATTAGGGAAAGGCAAAGATAGCATCCCCATAATAGGCTGCTTCTGATCAATAAAAAAGGCGGATTATCAGAGACCCCCAAAT